GTAACAACAGGTAGGTCATGGGAGGACAGGGATGGGCTACCCCAGCTTTAAAAGAAATCCGGGTGATGAAAATAGTGTTCATATTTGTTTTGATTCTAAATGTTACAAAGCTAGGCTGGATGAATAATTTGTTCACTCAAAAAAGACGAACACATCATTATCAAAAAGGGAATGAAAGGCCTGCCTAGAGCCACCCCTCCCCTGTGGTAGCCACCAGACATGTGGCTGTTTACAATCAAAGTGATGAGCATGGGAGGAGGTCAGAAGCCCCTGCCCCCACCCAGCCATGTGCAGCCAGTGGCTGCCAGTAGACCACACATGGTCTCAGGAATCTGTCAGAGAGTGCTCCCCTAGACTGTTCCTTGGGAGACAGCAGAGGGCCAGGTGCAGACTGTGGTTGAACCCCAGTGTGGACATGGGGGCAGCTCAGAGTCTTCGCTAGACTTTGGTGTTAGGAATCTCTGTTGGCTTGTTGGTGGGACAAAGGCATCACTGCTGTTTTGAGGAGACGTTTACTGAAGTAGTTAGGGTCCAATGCCTTGAAAGCCTATAGCTCACTGCAGCCAAAAAAGGATAAAGAAATTTAGTTGAATGTTAGGAAAATCAAGAGAGGGACATATGTGTTTTTTGTTCTATTCTCTGTACTTTTCTGTATATTTGCATTTTCTAAGCAATAGAATGTTAAAACCTATTGGACTTCTTGATTTGTCAAAAAGTGAGTGTTTGACCCTCATGTCCCATTCCTAATATCACTGTTTTATGATTTCAGGTTTATGAGTGGCTGTGACCGATGTGAAGAACGGTTTCGTGGCGATTGCGGGGGCGCTTCTCAGGCTCGATGAAGGCTTTTGGCAAGGAACAGGGTAGATTATATCTGCCCAAAGTGCACCGTTCTGCAAGTGCAGGATGAGACTAATGCAGAAACCACAGATCATCAGGAAACTAAATTTAGACCTGCAGATGCTGATGAGACAGAGTTTAAAAGTCCAGGAACAGTGGAGCAAAAATCTAGTGAAGACTGAAAGATAAAGAGGAGAGTTGAGAAAGCCGCACATCCAAGTGGCAAGAAAAAACTCAAGCTTTGCCAGCCTGTGAGTATTTTGCCTACTGAGGTAAACATTAAGGGGTTGACCTTGTGGATTCCACACTTGCTATTGGTAGAAGTATCAAGGCTAGGAAAGTTTCTGTCTTGGAATAAGCTAATTTCTACCAGGACGGGTGCTGCATCTGGGGTGGGGCCTCCCGAGCTCTGCCCCCGTCTGCTGCCCACACCACCTGGAGAAGCATCTGTACCTACCTCATCAGCTGTTGTGGACTTAATTCTTAATTCACTTTTATTTCCATGTTCTTGATGTTACTTACATATTTTATGTGTATCAGCAGCATTGTTTTTCAATTGCTTAGGTGCATGTGCCCCCCTGTCCGGACCCCCACACACACCATCTCAAGCTGCCTTGTGGTTCTTCTGCCAACTCAGTGTAGGAAACCCTGAGTGGTGGTGGCGCCTGCATCAGTCCGACCCTCACTAGTTCCTGTGCTCAATGTATCATTTCTCCGTCTTGCGGCTCTTTACTTGACTCTCCTTCCCACCTGGTTTTTATGTCCCTCTGGGGTTGTGATTGTTTATCATTTTTCCCACATATGTTAGCTTCTGCTGTGAGGAGAGATGTCATGTACTGTCATAATCTCCATTCCAGTGCCCTCGAGGGGGCGTGACTCAGAGCATGTTTCCCTCTGTGCCTTCCTGAGTCCCTGGCCCACCCCTACCCTGGCAGCTTGTCCTCTAACAGAGGCCAACTGACCAGGAAGCCTTGAGGTTGCTGTGCCTTGAAGTATCTCCACCTTATGAACACTCTTGCACTGTGTTAGCTGCAAGGTGGAAGTGCAAGGACTGAGCCATTTAAATAAATGTGCCATGAAAGTATTAAGAGTGACTAAATGTCACAATCATTAAGAAAATTAATAGGAAAATTATCTATTTCATGTCTTTATTGTCAATGTATTTGACTTAAGCCTATATAAAATTTTATTCATATTAAAAATACTGTTGGTATATCTTCATTAAAAACAGCGAGCTTG